ATAACTATCAAATATTATTTTGTAGATAAAACTTCTGATAGATTATTCCTAAGGAGATAAAACAAATTAATTATCTTCGTAATGATAGGGATGATTTAAACCCTAGGTGGATCTGTTTGGTTGTACTTAGTTCTCTAAACCAGGTAATTTAGCTGTAGAGTTTTCATCGTCACCCCCTGACAACATCAACGGCTATTTCATGCAAACTTCTACATGGAATCAATATTAATTCAGAAAAGAGTATAGGTTTTCTGCAGGATTACATGGGTAATGTTGCGACCAGGAGATTTATGCCGCTTATCTTAACCCTAATTACCAAGAATATTATATTTATGTTTGAAAGCAAACAAAACTTAATCTTAAATAACAGACCTTATAAATTCGATTAAAATATTGTCTGACCATTACAGCGTCAAAAGTTCTCAAAGAAACATTTATTATTTAAATAAAATATTTCATTTACGGAATTAATCCATTACATGCTAACTAGTAATAAATGTTTTTAGTACGAAAATCCTCAAAATGAACAAAAGTTACCACTAGCATCAACAACGATAACAACAACAACAATAAGTGAAACACGTAAAATTCACTGTTGGATAAATGAAGCATGTCATACATCCGATGTGAAAGTTGAACCACCAACTACATGCTTTTTTCAAGCTATACATCGTAGTCCATCTGCACAAGTTAAATGGCGTCGAACACCATATGGTCGTATACCATCTCATTTTGAAGTACATGTTTTAGATCTTATAAATTCTGTTCATTATCGAAAATCTGAACTTTATGTTGAAGAAGTTAAATTAAACAAATTAGATCCATGGGGAGAAAATTATGTTGTAGAAATATTTGGTCTAAAAATTGGTCAACCATATGAAATTAGTATTGCATCTGCTGATGAAATGAGTAATTTATATTTTTCAAAATCTTGTGAGGCAGTAGTCATTATTGGAGCCGGTGAGTTTATTATAAAATCTATAAAATGGTATCAGTTTGTGCTAATGTCAAATTTACTTAACAAACAATTCTTGACAAACTAAACATGAAATCTGCTGACTGATTTAACTGAAGTAATATAATGAAATGTGATTTTACACTACATTAAAATCTCGATTATCATGCAACAAGAATGTCTCTCAATTTACCAATACCTACATAGCAAATTGTCCATTTTACCCAAAACATTTTGTATGACAGCTTCTTAAAGGTAGTCTATAAATCTACAGTTTTTCAGCTCTATATCAATGAAACCAAGAAATCCGATTATCCTCCGTATTTCTTGAATTTACATGATATAAACTAAAACAGCAGTTTTATAATCTAATAAAAGTAATGCCATAAGTCTTATCAAATTTTAAAAAGATTTTATGCAGTGCGGAAAGACGGACTGAGAAAAGCAAATGTTTAATTGGTATTACATTTGTGGTTGAACTCAGAATAACTGAAAGGAATCAAATGAGTAAAATCGGTTCGTTAGATTTCTTCTAACATTTCTATCTTCCCTGTGTTTCAGAAGTAACCAGCTTACTTCAGGACGATTTTGAATACACTAGTCAAAACACATCTTTTTGTCCAACTTGATTTCCCGAACATTTTAGACCCCTAGGTTTGGATTATTCCGAGTTAACCTAAAAACACTAATATCTATAAAAACTATTATTTTCTTATATTGGTGAATAGATTTGTTTGAAGTTTGTTGTGTACAGAGCCGGCCTCTCAGATAAACCGATCTAAAATATATTTGTAATCTATCAGTTATCTTCAACAGTTTTGATCTATTAGTTTCCTAAACAAAGTTAATTGGAAAGACCATATTACATACTATATTAAAAAATAAAAATAAATACCTTTAGTAAATCAATCGATCATATAAGTGAAGTATGTAAACCGACAAAACTCTTTACCAATGCACTGCTGAGACAGTTAAAGTGTCACTATGTAAAATAAAGTGATAAATAATGATGTGCCAAATAAATTCATTTTTCATTTGTCAGTTGGATTTAATGATACCCATTGAATTAAATCATACTTATATATATATATATATATATATATATATGCTTTCCGTGATCCCATTTGCGTACCAGTTTGTTAGATGGCCAATCCACTTTATTACAACAGCCACTTAGAATGTTGAAAACCTAGTTTAGTTAATACAGTCGACTGATATAAAGATGAACATTAGTTAATCCACTTGATTTCAGCAATACATTATTAAATCTCATCGGGAAAAATTATTTTACCAATAGATTTAATAACATGATTATTTGAAAATAGATATTATCAACTAGTTCCGACTGAATTTCCTTAAAATTCTATGTTATAAGTTTGTTCTATCACCATTTTAATACTGCTAATGAGAGGTCACCTTTATTTCATGTCACAACACTCATATATATGGCTCGTATCTTAGCTTGCAAAACTTTCAGGCCTTTAAGTGAACTAATGATTACTGTAAAATAAAGAGTTAGAACAAATAAAGCTTATTCAATGAGACAAATTCATCAAGGAAAGCTCTTTTATCACTATATAATATAGATAATAAGTTAACATTTTATCTTGCAGGTGATGGTTCATGGTCGAGATGGTCAAATTGGAGTAACTGTAATTCAAAATGTGCATCGAAATTGGGCACACGTAGTCGATATAGAAAATGCAACTCACCAGCACCTAGAAATGGTGGTCGTGTATGCCCTGGTTCAGAACAAATGAACTTTGAATGCTTTGGAACTAATATTAATTGCTAAATAAAGATTAACTTTACTTTTTTCTAATTATAAAAAGAGTTGCTCAGTATTTTTCTAACACACAATCAAATAGTCCGGTTGAATATTAAACACCATTAAAATAAGAGTTATAATACGACAAGGTTTGATATGAAGGTCAAAAGTTCCAAGTGAGCTTTCTATGCTTTTTATTTAAACACTTAATTAGCTTCGGCTGAATACAAGACTATTTCCTTTTTAGTTTATAGTTTCTTATCATTAATGTGTAGTAGAAATAGTGTAGTGAACGAGAAATCAGGTGTGGAAAACCAAGTTATTGCTTAACGTTATATCGCAGTGTGGCTTAATGAACTATGATCACACATTAAATGCATCATTTGTACATCTTCTTTGCGCTCTCCCTTACGTATGCCATTGTTCCTCTAATTCTGTCTTTATTTTGACTGCTGTCTGATTTTCTTCCTGTTCTCCTCATTTTGATCTCTTACTGACAGCCATCCTGTTTTCAGCTGGTGCTACACATCGCTTATATTTATCTGTATAAGTAACATGCATCCCAATAATAGACAAATTCAGGTAATTAGCATGGTAGCTTTTAACTTGTTATATGACCGATAAACCTGACCATACATCAGTCATGTCCTGTTTGACATTCATTGAAATTTTTTGAGCTCTTAACACTCACAAATAAAAAGTTGATCTGAGGGCTATTTGAGAGCAAAAGCAGATATTATTATGATGATCAAAAAAATGTTTCGCGTGACAATGGTGGTGATTTCATGAATTTCTTGCGGACAACTAACGATGTTTCGGTTCGAGCGTAGCTGTCAGAGACTTACTCTGAACTCGATGTTCTGATTACATATTGATCGAGTTATTCATAGTAGTGCTACAGAGGGAAGTTTAGAATTGTTCAGCATGTAAGCTAGCTGTGAGTAGCAGGTTAAAGAGGGGCTATAAATCAAGATGTCTTCGAACAACTCTTAACCTCACGAAATAGGTTGTTATAAATTTGTTTAGCCGATGAAATTGATCATGAAATTTGCGGTTGGATGTAGCGATAATATTCTGACCTATAACGCATTCTAGCAAAGTAAACAACGTAAATGTTGCTCAGTTCACAACTGGGAGCAAATCTACCTTATTTCTATAAAAATAGTACAAAGCATAATGACTCCTTCAAATTAAAATTAAACTGTGGATAAATAAACCTAAGAGAGCAATATATTTTCTAGTTTAAAAAGTTCTGAGAAATCAAAACCTGAAATTGTAGTATTTAATTTGTCTTACAGATATACTACTAGAACCGTCAACGCGATGCTGGCGAGCACAGAGTTTATGTGAAAGTTATAGTCAGAACAAGGACAACTTGGCTTTAAACTTTATCTGTTTCTGAACATAAAAACAATTAGATTAGTACAACAATTAAAGAAAATTACAGTTATTAAGTGAAACACACAAACATATAGCGTGTCATATCGAAATGAATAAAATTATGAGTCACAATAATGTAATAGGATAATAATATTTCCAAAGTGGTAGGTCACATGACACGGAGACACTTTGCAAACACATCCGAATAGATCAACGTGGTGGGCGCTTAAACAACGATTTGATTGATTAGTTATGGACATAACTGACAGAAATACTGATAAAATTAACAGAACGAACTTGAAACAGGCCCTTATTAATTGTCACTAAAGTGTTTTGGGGAATGTTGAATGGCATGCCATGAACCGACCTAAGTTAGACTGCCATTGAAAACCTGGAAGCGCTGTATGGCCGTTTCGTTCTAATTTCAGGCTATTCAACAGCGGGCATCTACGACATTTCACGCCACAATCTAACTCAACAAATTTGATCTCTAGCAAGGACGCTAAACTTTAAGACCATTGAGGAGGCATCTAACTAAATGTATTTCCTTTGTCATATAGACAGAAGGAAGGTTACTTTCCCAGCGAAACACAAACGAATGGAACTCATTAACTCAACACACGATTGAAGTTCCATCTCTCGATCATCTAAGAAGAACGTCCAAGCCACTGCCGGGAATAACATAAGCCGCTCAGACGTCTGTCCTTTTCCAATTAGAACTGAAGACTGTACCAATGGCAGGTAATGTTAATGCTTAATTTTACAATATTGGGGCTTGAATAGGCTTATTGTTAATAATTCCTTACAAACGTCAAAAAGTAATCGTGACTTCACGTTTTATTATAAGGAAGCTGAATATGCCGTATCCGTTGCTTTAGATGACACTACATGTTTTTTCTACACCCAAAGTGTCCTTGCACTTATGCCGAGATTTAACCACTCAAGGTCAATGCTGAAGAGGCTACCGATCGGAGTATTTCGGGGAATAATAGCCTTAAGCACTGGTATAATAACTTACAAATATCATTCACTTGTTGGTACAATAGTTTACGCAAGTTCCGAACAAATGCTTGCCTATATTTTTAGTGTGACGGTGTTAGTATGCAACCTACTGTTAACGATGGTGACTATCTAGTTGTTGAAAGGCTCTCAATCATTTTGGGACGTATTAGAAGGTATAATTCACCCAAAAAATCATTCTATTTATAGAGGAGATGTTGTGATTGCTGGTCAACGCAGAAAGTATGATACTACGTATGTTCTAAAGCGTATCAAAGGTCTTGGCGATGACCGAGTTACTTTCTGGGACAAGAGTAATTTGGAAATCATCTCTAAGCAGGTAAAAACAGCACTTCTCAGAATTCGTCAGTAATGTGTGGTTACGGTAAATCGCCACGAACCTACGTACCTGTTCCCAATCTCCCAAGTTTGAGGAAACAACCCAAGTCAAATGACCTTCACCAAGGTTAAAGGGAAATATTGGGGAGTTTTCACAAGTATGGGGAAATTTTGGGGTTTTAGTGCCATTTCCCCAAAGTTCACTATAGAGGCTTCCCCAAAATTAGGAGTTCAGGTTTCTACGAGTTATGTCGTAATGTTAAAAGCGTGCCGTAAATACAATAATGAAAAAATGCGAGACTATGATTTATGGACGAACCAATCAGGTATAAAACAACAGGTCTCGGATCTTTGCACGAACTTCACCCACCAATTTGACAAAATAGAGTTTTGACATTATAGCTGATTTCGATGAAGACCGTAAATATAATTCCTAACTTTAACCGTCAATTGTAAATCACAATTCGAAGTCCTCACAGAGATTTATAAACCTCACTTGGTCCTATTTATTAGGTGGACACTATCAAGGTCAGTCCAGCGTCGCTCAAAGGTCCATAAATTATGGTCTCATCGATCACCAAAAGTTCGACGAACGTAGAAATCGATTAAAACAGCCCTGCCTTTACTATATAAGATGTCTCCATTCAGAAATACCCTTCCAGCCTTTACTCGTGCACGTCAGGTAAATACAGGCGATAAAGTCGTTACTTGCGAAAGAAATCAGGTCTTGTTTTATTCGTCAAGATTTTCATTGACTTTTCAGAGCAATATTGCAGTATAAATATCAAAACAGAGGTGCTATCGCCAGTGAACAAATTAAAAATGGGGGGGACAAAAGGAAAGCAGAATGGAATATTAGGACTCGTAAGACGCACAAAATGTTTTTGAGCAAATATTCTTGCAAATATTTGCCTTAATTAAGTTATATCATCACAGGTCTCTAATGGTCAGTTTTGGTTTACCCACAAAATAACTAATAAAACCAAACCACTATCCACATCTATGGTTAATAACCTAAGGCTACATAAATGTGTGTACAGTTTTAAGTTAAGAAATTCCTCTCATCTTTTACCATAGTTCCAATAATGTAGTTTGTAATTGAGCTGAACACTTGTTCCTCCTTCATAGTTTAACATTTCACTATTAACAGTACCCCAAGTTAGTAGTTCCTGTTTCATATGATTAATAATGGTTGGAGACACATGAGTAGTTAATTATTAATGTTTTTAAAGTGTTATCTCTGCCGCATGTAGCCGCCTGTTAAACATTTAAAATCTGATTCTTGCTGTTGCATAAAAAACAAATGAGTCTTTGGTTATATTAGTCGTCTACCAACATGGGATACAGACGTATATTGTACCTCCTCAACCAGTTTATTTCGACTTATCGGTTAAATTTTTAAGTCAGTTATTTTGTACATAGTAAATTAATTCTACGGATATTCGAACTGGGTTACTAACTTGAATAATAAAGTCAGTCATTGTAAAACTGATTTTTACGAGTTTATTTTATTTATACACATAAACATTGGTACAAGAGGGCACCAAATATATACGCACTATAACTCCTCAGTCGGTTTTTGTGAGGGTTGAGATTCTACCAGTGCACCTAAACCGGAGCAGGTGGTTTTCCTAGGGGGCCACTCTTCGGGTCTTTGACCTAAAGGTCTCGGCCACAAGGCAGTGGAACATCGTTATGAGATGCAGTCCATGGTAGACGGTAATCAATAGGTTTACACGCTATTTGTTACCTCAGGATCCCCGAGTCCATGTGCACCATAGGTTTAGAATCAGAATTTCTCAGCTTTCTAGGTGGATCTTCCATACCTATCAACCCGCTTAAAACGTCAGATATTCGCTTTTTGTCCTCGCAATTTCGCAAACGCTAACCCTACCGCAAGATGGCAGTAGGTAGGACTTCCTCGGAAGTAGCTGAACATGCGTGGCCTTGTGTTAGCACTTCGGGAGGGAGGACTTTCCTGTCCGTCAACCGTACCAGAGCATTCGGGGGGAGATTTTCACGAGTTACTAGTATAATTAAGATCAGCAACTGTAAACCACAAAAGACTGAATAAAACTGATCGTTAAGGTTATGGTATCTACTCTGTTTCATTTTAAGTACTTACGGAGTTGTTACTTCCATCTTAGTTCTCATTTTCTACACTATGACTGATGATTTTGATCTCTTTTTTTCTTGTCACTACCAGTGGAATTAAAAAACTTTACTAGTTTAAAAACACCCTTTTAACGTGACAGTTTAAGTCAATATGGCATTCGAACTTCTCCTCATTCATGACTATGCTTTTTCGCCCTTAGTAATTTGTCTTAGTTTGAAGTAACGTATAGAATGGTAGCAACGTGAAAGAATTATTAATGTATTGACTCTCCTCTATCCTCTCAGGTACCTCGAGGTCATGTTTGGTTAGAAGGTGACAATGCATTACAGTCATTAGACTCAAGGTCTTATGGCCCCGTCCCCATTTCTCACTTAGAGTACAAAGTATTTCTCCGTGTATGGCCGTTAAGTCATTTTGGACGCCTTCAAACACCAAAACCTGCTACTTGCACGACTGATGAACCGTGCGACCCTGCATTTGTACAACGTAGTTTAAAATGAAGAGGAGAACAGAAAAAGGATCAGGGTTTTTGATAACCATGTTCATAGAGTTTTTTATATTTTATTTGACTCTTAATTACTGACCACCGCTTTTGAAATTTTTCCAGTTGTTAATACCTGTATTTGGGGACATTGTTTGGAGAGATTATGTGGAACCAATGTCTTCTATTTACTCTTTACTTCATTCCTAACATTCTGTGTTGTACATATTCCACTTCTTTGTGAAAATTATTTTCGTTGGTTTAAATTTGAGAAGGTTTACTTTTATTTGTAAATTATTGACTTTCATGTGTAAAAAACACGTATTCCAGAACCTGTGTACATACCTAGGAATATTTGACACTAGAAGAAAAAATACGAAAGCTACTAAATATTCTTTTTTAGTTTCTGCTTGTCTCAACTAGGGATCGTTATGTCCATTTGTTGTTTCTCAATATATTTTTCTAAGTTCTCAGACTAAATACAGACGAGAAGTATATGTGTTTTAGAAGTTATTAATGGTGGAACTTTTAAGGGCTTTGGGTCGCTTACATGTAAAACCGTACTAAAATTACAGCTGAAGATTCAGTGGTTTTGGTTATTTTACTAATGGGGAAGGTTGAAACATGGTGGAGTATATTTACTTATTTTATTTATTATGAGGTTTATTCAATATAATGTTTTTGGTACAAAATAGAATTCTCAGCACAAAGTATTTCAGCGAGTTTCCGTTTCTTATACTTTGATAGATATCGACGATAAGTATTGAGTGATCGCCAGTCAAATATTAGCATTGCAAAAGTCCACATCTGAGTAATATTCACCCTTTTCCATGCATATTGCCAGGCATCATGATGTCTCCGATTGAACATTTTTGTAACTTTTGCAGCGAAAGGTCGTAAATTTTTCACAAACGCACCTGAATAAGTTATGCAATTATTTGATATAATGATCTGCGAAAACAAACAAGGGGACAGATAACTTGTTGAAATATCTAGATGGCAGGAACAGGTAGCCCAGATATTCAACATTTAAGTAGTACTAGGTTGTAACAATTTTTTGTGTTAAAGATTATCAATCTCATGACTAATCCAGCTCCATATCTAAGCGTAGGATAGATAATATAGTTTAATATGATAGGAGAGTGTATCTACTCACTAGAATGATGGAGCCATCTCAATAGTTAACTGTATGTGACCGTAACAATAAAGTTAGCAGTACGATCGTTCAAAAGGCTGTATAATTTGCGCATTTAATATGCATCAATATATTTGCTCTTTCACCTGACAAAAGTAGTCAATTTAGGCAGTTTTGGGTTCTGCTATTTACTAGATATAGTTTCGTCTCTGAAATTCGTTTATACATGTCTGCCTACTTGTTAGTAGTTAAACCATAGTGAAGGAAAGATTTTTCCGTGACCCCACTGGTTTGAATTTCGAGAAACAAATGAAAATCGATTTTCGTCAAATTCAAATGGTCTTATGGCCCAACTTATTCGTCGACAAACCTTTACTCAGTAATCCGAATATGCATAGCATATTGGCGATCTGCACTTCTCTCAAAATTCAGCCATTATCACCATAATGATAGTTAATATCTGAAGTTTGTGCTGATGATCTCGTTCAGAAGAACGAAGAAAGCTCCGCGACTAAACCATCCAGCTCAGAGAACAAAACTCCACCTGATGTAGTTTAACCGGGAATTTTATGAAAATGCTTTCAAGTATTTATCATCAGTTATACTAATAAGTAGAACCCCAAAAACGCTATTATTTGTAGTAACCTCGGAGGGGAACATTCTGAAGTATTGCATGTGTTAGTCTTAGTTTGGATTCCGAGAATACAGTCTTGTATAAAAACCTTTTCATTGTAAGACAACCATAAGACCTGGATAGATTAACCAACTATTAGCAAGTCATGAAAGGTGAATTGTAATTAATATATGTCTGGTGCAAACCGTGTCTTACTTCTTGTTTAAAAATCGGACTCTGAATAGTAAAGATGAGTCACAATACAATAGGGAAACCTACTTACGCAACTTAATTGTTCCATTTTCAAAATAGGAATTCATAGCCTTCAATAATGATACAATGGACCATAATTAAGGTTAACTGCATAAGATGGGATTATTCTCATGCTTTAGCTAACAGGATAATCATATACTATTTGTGCATTTCAGAGAAAAGGAAGACTCATGGCTTAGAACTCTCGAACCATATTCCCGGTAATTTGCTTTTCTTACTAGCACCGATAATACTACTATTTCGACTCATTAGCATTCATCTTGTTAATTTGGCATGAGTTAACACATATCTCTCAGGATCTGACCAACCTACTAAGAGATTTCATTTTATGACGTTTTAAAACCAACCATTTAAGAAAAAATAGAGTTTATCAATCTTGAATCCTAACATACTGTAGTTAGTTAAGCATTGTCATCTTTCTATAAACAATTTTATTCCAATCACATGAACAAGTTGTCTTTTACTAAATCAGCTTACATCTAATTGTTGTCAACGGATCCATTACTTTGTCACTTTGACTTTAGTTTTTAATTTACTAAAGCAAAACGACATAGAATCTATCACTAAATATATTCGTTTAGTTATCTGACGTAGATTTCACAACAAGGCAAATTGATTTTTGAGTTCAATGTTGTTTAACTTGCAGTTAGGAAGCCTGAGTGACCTTAATAGTAAATTTATTTATGAAGTAATAGATTTACAATATTTTTTTGGAAGAAATGTAGGTCATTTTATATGCATCATACACTTCAATCATTTTTGGCTAAAATAGCAATCTATATCTAATGTGTAACACCTTAAAAATATATTCAATAAAAGTTTATTATATTAACTTAGCAGTATGTTATGTGAGGAAAATATTCAAATAAGTAAGCATACATCCCGTTATTGATTTAATATTTTACCAAAAACATCTGCTTGATAATACTAAGTGACAGATGATAGTCTATAGTGTAGCGTCTGTTAGTTACGCGACACGGTTACTTATTCCGGTATTTCACGAAATGTTCTATAAAAAGTCACAGGAGGAATTATGTTACAAGATAATGTAAGTTATAGACGTTCAGTGTAGTGCAACTCCTGTACAAGTTAACTTGAACTAAATTAACAGAAATCAAAACAACTGATGAAGAATTTAGTGATGATACTGACAGTTATTAAACAGGAATAGTTTAGGTTGACGGCCTATTAAGGATTGGATAAATAATGAATGAAAGTAAAACTGATTTTTTGTTGAACTAAGCTAAAATAATCAAATTTAACCAATCTTTTCTTCTGTTAACAACTTGTCTGAAATGAATATAGAAAGAAACTAATAGAGAAAGCAGTCATTATACAATATTTACCTAACGAGTTATTATTGTACAAAATTATTTTAATACAAATAGGATAAAATAATAATGTTTACCTGAAAATGATCGAGAATTACTTTACTTGAAATAGTAGTGATTTAAAAATTGGGTCTTCTTTTCTTGTTGACTGACAATTCACTGAGTGGCATAATAATATTGTTAAACTTTGGATTTCCGACCAGCTGCAGCATATACGAGACTTCGGCATTAAGTTTTCATTGGTGATTATTAGTCTTTATAATTTTAGATTCTTCAGTTTTAAAAGTTAGTAATTCGCTTTAAAACGAGAAATTAACAAGTTTTAAAATCGTCAAAATGTTCCGATGAATAGTGACAATATTCAGGAAAATATTTCGAAAACTGAAAGTATATTTCAGAAATGGTTTGTAATAACATCCTGTCAGATTATAATGGATAAAGTGGTCAAACTGTTTTAGAAAAATATCCTGTCTGTTGTACAAATCCATCAAATCATATTTATGAGGATACGGAAATTTAAATAAACAAACAATACAGAAATATGTTTGATTATGTACCAAACTTTAATGACACAAATCTATAGATCACTGTTTTCTGTTATATGAAAATCAAAGTATGGATGTTTAAGGAAAATTACATGGTAACGCTAAAACCAGATCACTGTTGACAAGATTAATTGAAATGAATCTGAAACAAGAAGGAAGACAACATTCATATATTTCAAATGGAGTGGATTGAAGTAGTCCACAGTAAATCACCGCTCAAATTAATAGACGTGCGGGTAGAATGTTGACAACTTCCGAGTCAAAACTACGAACTTTCTTATTGTCATCAACTATTGGTCAGCAACGCGCATGTAAATGTATAATTATTACTTAAGTTCATGAGGTATTAATGGTCGTTAACTAGAAAGAGATCAGGAAAGTGAAGTCAAAATTAATGTCAGTATAAAATATTTTTTCTGTACCCTAATCTAAACCCCTCAGTTTTCTCTTCATCTTTATTTGTAGTTCTGTTTTTTTTGCTGTTATGGTTTAAAGCCTTATAATTTGGGGCAATTTTTTCGAGAAAAGGTTAAATACCGATCAAATTAAAAACCTGTTATCGTAAACTGGGAAAAGGATGATCATTACATTGAACAGTTTTTTAGAGCTTAATTACTCATCGAAATATTTTTTTAGAAGCGTACAATGTTTGTCGACTCAGTTGACTAGTTCGTTGTTGCTTAACACCTTCCAGACTCACACCAAACATTTGAGCACTGAGCTAGTAATGGAAACTCTAGGCTGTCAACATTCTTTACCAGTCTACACTGTTGTATAACTAATCCCATTGGATAGACATTCAATCTTCCTTTAAACAAATAAAATTCAACAGACAGCAGTTGGTTTTTAGGGAATCACAACATCTAAATGTATCATTTAATTATATAATCAAAACAATTAGGCAATATGTTTAAAAATAGGAATTCTGTAAATCAAAACAATGAATCTGGTTGTGTTTACCGCTCATATTTATCAGTTTCATCTTCAATGTAGACAATGTAAACAAATTACGATTAACACTTTTTCTAGATAGAAATACTTTATGATGTAATGTTATTAAAGGAATAAACCTATTTTTATCAAGAAAATCCAAATATATATTTACACTAAGATCTTTTATAAATGAGGTAGAATTTCATCAATATTATCACCAAAATGTTACAATTAGAATTTAACTCCAACCTTATTAGAATTGCATTACATTCACTCATTTCTGCTCTCACCGGATACAGAGTGTCATTACTTCTGTTAAATACCATTCCTATTCCCACTGAATATAATCATATAATTGAATAGTAAATCTTCTTAATGAGTCTAGTTTCATTCTAATTTACAGGTATAAGGTATAAACATGATCTAATCTATAACGATTATATTTAAGTGTTAGTTTCTTTGCATAGAATAATCCATCTCAATCAATAAAATTGTGGTGAACAAGAACACGAGTTGGGACAAGCGAATGTATCTGAGCATAAAACTACAGAGCATCTCAATAAAATCGGAGAACCATATAGTAAATCGTTAATTTGCAAAATATTATTCCATCATATCAAACTTGACTGTACCTTTTTGATTGAGATCATGAACCGATTGATGTTAGACTATCACAATTGAAAACCTGGAAGCACTGGACGGCCGTTTCGTCCTATTGTGGGACTCCTCAGCAGTGTGCATCCACGATCCCGCGAGCGCGATTCGAACCCAGGGCCTTCGGTCTCGCGTGCGAACGCTTAACCAACTGGACCACTGAGCCGGCATCCATTGGTGATAGTTCCTAACATCAACC